CCCCCCCCCCCCCCCCCCCCCCCCCCCCCGCGCGCGCACACACACGTGTGGCGGAATGGTCAGTTCTCCCATCAAGGCGTTTCTGCAATATACTTAGTCAATGTACCGCCGCCGTTGTGCGTCAAGCCAACATTTTTTTGTTGTGCTCTTCACAACGCGAGACAAACGACGGTGCTAATTGTATGCAGGGTTATACCGCAGAAACTCAGACAGTCAACAGCCGGGGTAGTTCGAGGGTAGCGTTTCAAAGCCGACAACGGGCCGGCCACGCACGCGAGAACGGTCTCGCCGACACAAAACTCGCACCAAAATAAATTGCAGCCAGAGAGCGCCAAGACACAAAAACACTTGCGACAGACATATGCAACATCTTATTAGTGACACGCAGACCGGCAAGGTTACCAACAACGACGGGAAATCAACGCCATATACAAAGGTGCCGATGCTGTTGGCTTGGCGTTGAACACAGCAGTCTATCGCCTTTACACACTTTAGTAGGTGTGCGCATAGGCAGCTCCCTCGCCAAAACCATCTCTTCCGCAACGTCCCGCCATCCCGAGATCGAGAGCATGACCAAGCAAGGACGACCGTCTCTCGTCAAAGAAAATACTGTGGCAGAAATGACCCAGATTTTGGCGACAAGCGGATGCTCCAAAGGGACAACTTCAACAAAAGCACGCATCGATCTTGTGTGCAAAACAACATCAGCACCAACCACCAACACCATCAACAACGACGACACCAACAGCAAAGCCAAACTAAGCAAAACAAAATCGCGGAAAACCAAGCCGCTTGTGCAGCCTCCGCCACGTTGCAACATGCACGCACCGGGGAGGGGAACGGAAAGCCCACCCGACGTGCAGAACAACAGAAGCGCGACAACAACATAATTCCGCACCCACAGGTCGGCCTTTCTGACGGTATTGATTGACCTCATACTTGCACAATCGAGACTTCGACTTCGGGGGGCGAAAGCGCTGTCCCGTCATTTGGCCCGAAAACGATCGTCCAACGCCAGTCCATCCCGCCATGCCCGCTGGCCTACCTTGCCCCCCTTAGCGAATCCGGGACGACTTACACAAAAGCCACCCTTGTACCCAATCAGAACGTTTGAGTTTACACCGGGACCCGAAGAGCCATTTACACCTCTCGTAACAGCCCCCCCCCCCTCATCCGACACCATCGTAACCCCCACGCTCACCACCCACACCTACCTTCATCACCCCGCCCGACCCCTTGAGCAAAACTTCGAGCGGGGAATGGGTTAAAAATACCGCCCGCCGTCAAACTAAAACCAGCCCACCGATCGCCCCCCCCCCACACGCAAACATCCGACCATCCAATCACGATGAACCCGGTACGGCGGCAGCCGGCTTGTCCTCGAGCAACCCGAACAGCGAAGCCCCCTCATAGCGTGCGACGGCGGGGCCCTTATTCTCCAGGCTGTCAACGGCCGCCCTGACCATCGCCTTGCCCACGTCCTCGATGTGTATCTCCTTGAACTTGAGGGGGAGCGCCCACGACACCATCTTGTGGATGGACGCCGCCGCAGAGGGCGTGTTCGCGTTGCCGATCAGCGTGCAGGGCCGGAAAAACGCCGCGGATTCCAACCCCACAGCCTCGAAGTTGTTCTCCACCTGTCGTTGTTGTTGGTGTAGGGGGGGAAGTTTTCGTGCGGCGTGGAGAAGAGCAGGCGTAGGCGGTGGCCGGGGGGGTTTACTGCTTACATGCTGTGGCATGAGTGGGCCATTGACGTCGCCGACCTCTCCCGGACGTTGCTACGCAGCAGCCTACCCGTCTAGGATTGAGCTACCTAGGAAAGCGGTGTGCGTGTGTGCGCGAACGCGAAGGTGTGCGTGCCGTTGAAGGACGGAAACTGGATCAAGAATTCAAACACGTGCGTCTGTCTCAGCGGGACAACACACACAAGAAAGCGTTTGTCTTACGTGAAAAAAAAGCGAAACGGTTATGTCATGCGACATGCCAAATCCCATAGGCATGGATGGTGGTTATGCTTTTGCCGCTTCTGTCGCCTGAAGCAAACACCACGCTCAATACTCCGAGACGGCAAATAAATCCGCGTCTTCCATGTCAAGATCGACAACAACGGTGGCACCAAAATACGAACAGAATTTTTCAGGCAGCCCCGAACCCCTCACGCATTCAAAGGTCTAGAAACCCCAGAACAGGCGGCCGGCCGCACCCACGGAACATTGAAACTCCACTTACAACGAAAATCAAGAACGAAGTCACGGAAGTGACACCAAAAACACCCGTGGCCACAACAGCATTGCGGTTCCAAGGAAACAGCACGTGCTTAAAATCCGTTGAACCAACAGGTATGACCTCAACCCACGTCCTTCGTGACCAACAACAACAGCAGCAACGACGACGACAGCCACAACAACACCCCGCACTACACCTTGCCCTTAACGCCGAGGTACAGCCCGCCGCCTGCCGCCGTCCCCGTGATCCTCGACGGCTTGGCGGTCGCGTCGGCCCCGACAGACCCCAGCAGAGAGATATGCCGCACGCAGCCCGCGCTCTTGGACGCCTGAGCGAATGCCGTCGGGATCTCCAGGTCAACCTTCTCGAACTCCTCGCGGGTCGCCTGCGCGCCGGGGCAGAGGTTGAGGTTAGGAGGGGAACCGGGATACCCACCAAAGCGGGAGGGATATATATATTCTTAGGGCGACAAACATGCGCATGATGCATACAGGGATGCATGGTGCTTAGGGTGAGGTCCACAAAAATAATCAAAATCGGCCAGGGGATGGTCGCAGACCAGGCGTAGGTCCGAGCTTCGGGTATGGTTCTCGGGGTGGTGGGGGGCTACGCAGAGGTGACGATTCAGGGCTTTCCGGAGAGGGCAAGGGCCACCAGCCGCGGGCGGGCGTCAATACTCCGCCGTGGTCTCTTCCGCGACGTATGCGTACCTACACACAAGGTAGAAAAAATTAGCTGAATCGCGCTCCTGTTATCGCGTGCTCGCTTTTCACCTTGGAGGGCTTGCCGACGCCCATGGTTACGAAACACGCAGCGACTTCAGCGTCTCTCAGCAGAGGCCTGAACGAGGTGGACGGGTGGGCATGGAAGTTGGTTACAAGTCGCAGGAGACGGGGACACGTAGCACCTCGTAACGGTGTATATAGGTATACCCAGGCGAGGCAGGCACAAGGCAGAAGCTTGGGAGCTGTGGAAGACTACCATCTTTCGAACTCACTGGGGGTGTAGTACAGTGATGAGCTCGTGCGTCCTTTGAACCTTCTCCAATGAATCGAAAACAAGCACTTACCTTTCGACATCCACTACGCAAGGGTATGGAGGGTCAACGTATGACAGCACGGCGGCTGGAATGGTCACAATACAGTAGGGGGCCCTCTATAGTGCCGGTATGTGTTCAGAGAGCAAAGCGGCACTATACCGGGCACCGGCACTATTCAGAGTACAGAAAGACTTGATATTCCGGTGTGTGCGAGCCGAAAACACCGGCACTATACCGGCAACCGGCACTTTTCAACCGGCACTATATCGGGCCACCCACTGTACCCAGACATGAGAGCACCGGCGGTGACTCGTAAAACTCGCCACACGTTGCGGGTGGTGTCGAGATGTAATGATCTGTACGGTGAACACCAAGACTTTGCGCCAAGACTTTGCTTCTATCGCCGCTGCCAACGCTGCGTCGCTGCTGAAGGAGCACTATCTTGTGCGTCTCAGTTACTGTGCAACATCCGTGCAGCCGGCGGTCTATTTTTGCTCGTGGCATAGCGACCTGTTGTGCAGCGGCATTGGCATCGTGTATCTCACGGTTGCTGTGAAGCAGTCACATGGTTTTCGAAGCGGTGCTTTTCAAGATTACGGGGTATTTATTGATGCATGCGCAACGAGACTACGTGGGCCCGGCGGCAATCGGGCACTTCTCCTTGGTTAGGGCAGGACATGAAACATATACCGCACGCCCGCGAAGATTGATCGTGTTGAGAGACCCTGGTCTGCCCCACTTGCAACTCACGACGCATTCAGATCATTCACACACCAGGGAACCAACTAGGGTTTGTCCTACAGCCTATGCCAAACCCTTCTCTGCCACTACTAAATAGGCATCACAGGCGGTAGAAAATACCCTCAAAACTCCGTAAACCATCCAACCTGATCTTCTACAAGCATCCGTGCAAGGTGAAATTAGCACTGGAAAAAAGAAGAAAATAACGGCACATCATAATGGATTGTGCATGTCGCATGTGCACATGACACATGCCTCTATAGGTGCTATGTGGCGAAATCCCGTCAGCACTACCAGAGCCTACCCAAATAAAACCTCGTTTCTGCACCGGAGTCCCGCCGTGGTGCTGCAAGCAGCTAGCGCTCAAAGGCGACGCGGCTAATAGTTTCTGGACAAATATTCTGTCCGGCTGCTGCAGCAGAAACGGGCAAAAGAAGAACGCAACCGCCTTAGCCCGCTCCCACATAAAAAAATGTTTTCTCCCGCCGTCTGAGAAACCACGTTGATGTGTGCAGTCTTACGCATTCGCGCACTTGGATCCACAGGGTATTTGCCGCAAGCGCACGTCTCGGCGCCGTTCGCAACGCGAAACGCGTTGTTTGCAACACCAAAACAACCCGACGTTGTTGTTGTTGTTGTTGTTGTTGTTGTTGTTGTTGTTGTCTTCACATTAAATCGTGTCAGTTGCTAATCCCAAAATCTAGCAAAGTCGCAGTCCGGGGTCACAAAAATGCTAGAGCTATCAGAAGATCTAACGAAGACACACGCTATTAGCAAGAAAAGGGTATTATGGTCGACCCCGCTTTAAGGACGCACGTGAGTGTTCTTGAAAAAAAGGGTCCTTAGAGCGGGGTTGCGTCCTTAAAATTCAGGGGACGATAGCTCACCATCCCCGAGGCCAATGGAGGCATGATATACCTCAAACTACGCATCTTTTGCTAAGGGGGTGGTACGAAAAGCCAGCATCGCCGAGACGGCTGGTAACCGTTTGTTGACGTCGAACATATTTACAATACTTAAAATGAGATTTACAGCAGTCGGGAACGTGTTGAAAACAACTACAGCACACCAGTTTGTACTTGGCCAACTAATGATATTATATACAATAGGAGTACTGCATAGCCGGCAGCGGAAGGAGGAGGAAACAAGTAGACATATATTTATCTCATTCTTGTGAAACAAAAAAAAACGAGTGTATGTCAGCGTCGCACCGACGAACACCAGTACATATCACTGTCCCGGCGTAGACCAAAAGCTACCCTGATGGCTTTTCCTTCCACATATCGCGAAGAGTTCCCTGAACCTCCGCCCGCGGCTTGGCTCTACGGCACTGTTGAGTTTCATGAGTAAACGAATGAACGGTCTTCAAACAAAGGTACTGCGTCTCACGGTACTCGTCACCCCTTCCCTTCACGTACAAATACAGATAGCGCCCGCAGCTAAGAAAAATTATTCTGTAAAAAAAAAGGCTCAACTTTGTGCGAAAAATAAGCAAAAAGGGCTACAAGAAACATAGCTCAATTTCGACCACAACGTAAGAAACGCCCCAATTAGAAACGTGATGGTGCGATACCCCCACGACATCAGAAATCTGCGGTGCTCTCAACCCCCTCCCAAGCTGAACAGAAGTGCATTCTATCGTAGGGGGCAGAGTCACCCCCCCCGCCACCCCCCAACGCCCCTGCTGTTCACAGTTAGTGCTGTACTGTAGTAGACACATCGCGGACAACCATATGCTCTCCGCTGTTGTACGGGTTTGATGGCATTCTCCATCACCTCTCATGAGGGCTTGATGATGTGGATTGTCCTCAGAGATCAAAAGATAGAAAAAAGAAAATACAAAGTACTTCCTGTAGTCTAAGGAATAAATAAGAGAATCGGGAGGATGCGACAGTCCAAAGGAAGAAGAAATGCCATGTACGAAATGGACGACTTGGGCCGGTACTTCGACCCAAAAGAAGGGTTTGGTGAGGCTCGAACCGATGTTGACGTTTCTTAACTGCGGGCGCTATCTGTAGGATCGAACGTCCTCCATCCAAGCGAGAGGTTACCTCGCCCTCGGTGAGGGACGAGATTATGCACGACTCCTTTTTTGGCGGCATCAGATGGGCCGCGGGTAGATGGGAGGAATCTATCCATACCAACACCCAGTTGTTGCAGCTGCAGCGGCAGACCGCTCGCTACTTCTTCTGCTGTCTGTGTCGCTACTTCTGCACTCACTGTGGTGCGTGGTTCGTGCAAAGAGCGGCTCACCAGGCCCGCAGGAAACAACAAGGGGGGTACGCGGCAGAAAAATGTATGTACCCCATAATCATATATTCTGTCGGCCCCCCGGTGCTCAGCAAAACAAGTTTCCTTTAAGCGGGGAGTTTCCTTGACCCCTTTAGGACTGGATCGAGTTTTGGGGACATTTTTTGTCCTCATTATTTCTTGTTTTTATTATTTTGACTGTCCAGCGATTCCAAGTCATATCCTATTGCTCGATTTTTTTTAGGCAATAAGGGTCATGGCGCGATTTCATGCTATGCGAGACTGTGAGGTCAGCCAATGAGCATCCCACTTTCATCGCTGTGCCGCGTACCGTACGCGGTGCAATACAGCACACAGCACACACACCGTTCCGCACCTCGTGGTATCCATGCGCAAAAGTACGGTCGACAACTTCTGCATGCAGCCTCAAAGAAAGCGTTCTAGCGGTGACCTCCCAGTTCTCTCCGGGGAGGACACGGTGAAGTGCACGGTGCTGGAGGCCGCAGGTGACGGCAATTGCTCACTTCACAGCATCTACAGGCTGCTGTACCCCGAGCGAGATAGCGTCGTGGGTGCAACACCAGAGGAGATAACAGAGACTCACCAAGAAATGGTGGAAATGGCAGCAGTTGCTTTCACTGAGGACTACGGTCAGTTACTGGCCAACACGGTGTCCGAGGAAGAAATGCTAAGGTTGTCCAATCTCAACTTCGACAAGGGTTTCTACCGAAAACGCACCTCCTCATCCGGTCGAGCTACAAGACGCCAACCAGTGAAGACTGTGCGAGAGGTGGTAGAGGACATCCACAAACAACTGGGGTACGATTATTTGGCGGTATGTCAACTACTGGCGTTGGTAGCTGAGGTGAAGGAGTGCAATATCGTGGTCTGGGAAGCAAAAGCTGGAGGTGGGCTTCGAATCGTGGAAATAGGCGAGACCATGGGCTGTTTCGTTGGCAATCTTTTTGAGAAGGATTTTCTGCACCTGGTGTAAAATGACTGCGGGGGCTACGGTGCAGGTAGTTATGCTGAGGGTGCGGCTACAGTTCGCAACCCGAGCAGCAGCAACGTGGCTGAAACAAAGCTGAACCACTTCAGCGCTATCGTGATCCCACAAGAACTCGTGCCGTGGGCGTTGCCGTACATGCTCGCACGTGGTTCCTCCGGCGAGTCTGGTTTTGGGCATAGGAAGGCTGCAGACGATATTTGCCCGTGTCCAACCACATCGGACAAGCCTACGACGAAACACCGGGGCTCTCCCATTGCTCTCGACACTGATGATGATGACGAAACCGAGATAAACAGCAGCGTGCGATTTCCCTGTTCTGCTGGAGGCGCCCGGTCAGTCACAACCGCACCCACCGGCGTATCAAAGCCAGAGGCGCCGCCGGGGAAAGCGGCGATCAAGCCCGCCACACTTCCGTCTGCCAGCAGCATGTCGGCGACGACTGGGGCGAATGAGACGCCGACGCCGGCGGAAACGCCAACCAAGCTCGCCAGCAGCAAAGCGCAAGAGCTGTCTCCAGATGCGGCGAAGTCGGAGACGCTAGAGGGAGGTGCTGCCGGCGTAAAATCCGTCGAAAAAGGAGCATGAAAAGCGCAAGCGCCGCGAGACTTGCCATGCTTTATTCGCCAGCGGGAAAAGGCAAGGGCAGCGCTGCGGGGCCGAGGCGAAATCACCCTGTGGTATGCTCTGTAGCATGCACAGTAACAAGGGTGGCCAAACCCGTACTTGCGGTAGGGGTGAAAACGGCGGTGATGACGAAACGGAATACGTACAGAACCCTGATGGGTACGAGGAGATGAGTGACGGGGGTAGTGACGGCGAGATTCCGGGGGACTTGGCAGACTATGACGAGCCGTCCGTGATTTTCAAAACCCTCAGCAGATCAACGCTATGGTGGACAAGATACAGGAGGGCTGGGGAAAGGCGGCTCTGAAGGTCGTCTTCGAGTTGGTACAACACATACATGACTTCCAAAACGACCGCAAGGTAAGGATGTGTGCATTGATATTTCTAGGATTTATATTTTTCGGTAAACACTCGCCACTTTCCGGTGTGATGTGTTGTCGTTTGGGACGACAACGGCAGCACGAAAGCTACAGAGGTAGGACTTCGTTCGGCGAAATCTCAAGTTTGATGTACACGGAGTGTTGACATCAACTAGGCACACCACCGCGCGTCAGGGGTATTGTTTTTTGTGTCCCTCGCACGAAATTTGATCTTGATCGTGCACCACTATGTGTCTGCTTGTTGTTGCTTCTCTCACTCTGCAAACGTGTATTGCTGTAAATCATGTTTCGTAGCTATCAGCAGCGTGTGTGATGCTGCTGTAGGTGTGCGATATGCTTTCTCCGTCGCTCCGTCTCCCCCCGCCTCCCCGCCCCTATCTTCCTCTTGGTGTGTCCAACTCGTCCTTGCACCCCCTTACCATCGTATGTTTAACGCCAGTCCACAATCTTTCTACCACGTGATGCGATGGCAACAATGGCCCCTGACCGCTTTGGCCACCCCCGCCCCTAGCGCCCCCGGTGTTTGCCATCGGGGTTGGGTTTTCGTCGCTTGGCAACGACGTTGTAAAACAAGCCGCCCCCCCCGGTGTTTGCCATCGGGATTGGGTGTTCGTCGCTTGGCAACGACGTTGTAAACAAGCCAATTCACTTCGTGAACTCGGCAACCAGGTTACCGTTTTTTGTTTTACCTCCGCTTTTTTTTTGGCGGTAACCATGATGGTGGTCGAGTAGATCATGTTGTGCGGGGTCGAGAACCCTCACTCCGCGCAAGGGGGATGATCGCACCACGTTGTGTTAAAATGGTCAAGCACCCTCGAGGCAGTTACACAGTGCT